TTCAAGTTCGCTAGACTACTTAGTCTATACACCTATAGCAAGGTGACTCTGGAGATATTTTGAGGCATAAGTTGATTAAGTAGCTGTTTTGTCAGCACAATGTCATGCTCAAAATGAGTTTTTGGTTTGGAGCTTTCACTCTCCTTGATTCTATGGAAAATAACTGAAATAACACTGTGATAAGCCTTCGATTTCTCGACTTCTTTATGGAAGCAGGATTCCCTTTTATATCATTATTTTGTTTCTTCTTTACAACCTGTACCCATCCATCAACGTTGGTGGGAGCAGCAACTACAGTCACGTCAAACAAACTTCAGGATTCCGGAGGGTTGTAGACGATTTGGTGGGTCAGGTTATGTTTCCCGCTAGAAACCGATTGAGCCTTGCGATTGCGGCTTCTAGGCGTTTCCTGCTGGATACCATTAAGAAGATGGGGCAGAAGAAAATTATTTTCTTAAATTTTTAGTTGAGACAAACCTCTTTGAAGACTGTTTTTTCTCATTTGGTCGGTGTGAGTCAGCTGTTTTAGAACTCACCTGAGCCTGCTTTACACCACTTTGCGTGTCCACAGAGGTAGTACTGTCCGATGTGTGCTGACCTCGCTTTCCAAAACACTTTTTCGCAGCATTTATCAACGAGATGGCCTCGGTTAGCAAGCTGTTTGCATCCGAACAGCACTGCTGACAAAGCCATACTCTACCGTTTTTACTGAACCGTTTAAAAGCCGCAGGCGTTAAATTCGTGCAAATTTCGTGGTACCAGTGTAGTGAATAGAGCACGAGTGAGGACAATTGAATGTATTTGACAAAAAATAAATCACAGGACTTGTTAATAAAATCTAACAATCAAGTACTAACTAGGTAATTTGCAAAATGTCCATCGATTGTCTCAAAATGACTCAGACTTCATTGTTCTTGCATTTTCATACAAATTGCATTCTGTTTCAATTCTTTGCTGTTCGATCCTCTTATCTCTCTGCTGCCAGACATTCTCTTCACGACTAACATCATCTACTACTTCTGTCAATATAAGTAGCACACACCACACCAGCCTTTGCACTCATCGCACCACATACCGATTTAAACGGGATAACGACAACCCGGGCGTTGGCAATTGCTTTTTTTGCACTGTCCAGTCATTAAACAGGGGTCTTTTTTAAAAAAGAACTAGATGTTATAATACTCAGGGACATAAAGCGATCTATGACCAAAAAAGTGGAAAACTGTAGATTGTTAGAACCAAAAGTACTAACAGATACAATAGAAAACCAAGTACTCAAAAGTACCGACGACAAATTACTTTAGAAACAGAAACGTTACTCTAATCAAATACTTTAACTGGAATAAACTCAATTAAAGTGAAGACAGTTTCGTGCCTATAGGTAACCCTCGTGCTATTGATAGAAGAAACCAGACAAGTAGTGAATAGGTCTTTATTTCGATCTTAGTGCGTTCACAGTTGAGCGTGGGATTATCTGTTCAGACAAACAGTGGCTTTGAACATTCAATATAAGATAATAGGGAATATAATGCTTATACAAAATAAGGAAGTGAATGAATACTTGAACAATACTGTTTTGGCATATGCTTGGTTGTTTCGAGTCAACCCTTAAACAACCAACTTATGCTGTTACAACAGTCGTTTTGATACGTAATAAACATTCAAATCAATAAAATTTACTCAGCGAGGAAAAACATCTCTGTCTTTTTACTTAGCGCGCTTTTCACTCTGACTTCTCAAAAGTTTTCTATAGGGCCAACCATATATGTCTTGTCAGTAAGCTCAAACGATTAAGTATCAGACAACAACGCAATTACCTTTAACACTTCAAAGTGTAAAGTAGTTCTTTTGAAACATGCTGCAGACTACAACCACAACTTAGGCAACTCCTCTCTTGAGGTATCTTAAGTTAAAAAAGATATAGGAGTGTTGGTGATTTGATGTCTTACGCTAACTGCGACAAAAGTGCCTTACAAGCAAACTTTGCAATGGTAACATTGAAGCGCATTTTCGGCCAGTGGTTACGGAAATATTTTGGTTAAGGTAGATACAAGCAAAAGCAAGACCACCGCCGCATGGGCCAATCCATGGCACACGATTAACTGATTCGCGTTTGCTGCCCTTGACCGTGGTGGGGATCGATGATTTGTTCGATATTTAGTGATGCAATCTCTTGGATGATTTGGCTAGGGCTCAGTGACATTTCGGTGGCTCTACACTAAATACTTCTGGTCATCCCGTCAAATAATTTCTTAAGCTTAGTCCCAACATAAAACTTAGGGGTAACAACAAGAAACTGGAGGCACAATAAAGCAGAACGGACCCTCTTGTCTTTAAGAGTTGTCAAATGATGAAACTCGCAGCCGGCTGAGCTAGTCCATGTTACCACACAGGAGACATTTAAGAGTATACTTGATACATTCTCAAGGACTATGGGTAGTATCTTACTATGGTTTGCCAACTTTTTTAAATTTTTCCTTACTTGTCGGTAAAATAACCACTTTCCTGCCTGAAGTTATCGCTGATCCACTGTTACTAGATACGAAAGCCCGTTAAGCGAAAGCTTCTGTTCCATCCAGGGCCACTTGAACCATTTGAGTCATTTTGTGTTGAATACTTATAAGATCATATATTTTAAAGATATGCAGTCCTTCGAAAATTACTTGAGATATAATATTTTCATAATTATATTCGACAAGATGTTTGTAGAGATATTTTAAAAGATTTGAATGCGGATTGAACTATATTGCGCAGAGTTTGTAGGTAGTGTTACGAATCATTATTGGTTGGGACCACAGATAAAGTTACAAAGCAACAACAGAGCTAACGTGTACACCACAAAACAGAGAATGCTAAATTAATGCTCTTAAAAGTGATTTCGTGTTTTTTCATACAGCAAAGGATGACTTAAATATAGAAGAACTTAGTACTCATACGACCCAACACACCCACAGCAATTAAAATACGGAATGACCGCCTCTAATCAGGCCGTTCAAGGTCGTTCAAACGAAACGGCGGGCGGATTTGAAGGGGGTTACCTTGCCTTGGCTGTTCATGTTATGCTGACCATATTGTCATTAATAGACTAAATGTTTTTGTAATCTAGAAGTTTGTCGTCATTTCTAAATATATATGTTTTATAAGTCACTAATCCGCAAACCATCGACGGTCAACTTAAGTGTCTTTTCAATGCTTTTATTTGGTTTTTTGTGAAGATTTTACTTTAATATTAGCTTATCTCCAAACTCACTCTATGTTTCTCTGTCCTGGAAAATTTTCTGCTTTGTTATTACGAATAAACTTGCTAGCGGAGTTAAGTCAACGCTGACATGGGACTACAATACATTTGTATTGCATTAAGTTTAATGACTATATATGTGGTGTCTTTTGTGAAGCTCGCTATCTAGACTTTACTGTGCTTATTTTCTAGGAGTGTAAATAAATCTAACTACTGAGATCATGAATTTTGTGCGTATGGCTAACGAATATGGTTCTTGTCGACGGCTGACAATTATTCACATTGGTTTAAATCTTTGCTTATTATTTGAGTCTAGTAGTGCCTTTATGTTGGTTTTTTGAACAACGAAATCCTCACATCTTTAGCTTTTCTTACAAACTAGTCCTATGTCTGTCCACTTATACTATGTCTTTGCAACGCCAAAAGATCTGATAGCGTAATTACAAACAGGAAATGTTTGTATCGTCGCTATTGTTAAATGAAATTGATGTCATCAATTTCTCCTAATTTGTTCGTTAGTCGTGTACGGCTGCTACTAGGATTTTGTTTAAGGTTAGGACATTTGTGTTTCTCACCAATGGGTGGATTTTCAACTCATATCATCTGAAGGTCAATATATCACACCAAAGAATACTCATGTGATCCATTCTTTCTGTTGGTGATTTTCAAGTTATTGCCGTAGCTTACTATAAATATGTCATATTTCAACTATTTTCAAAGAACAGCATACGTTATTGTAGTCTTACAATTTGATGCATGTCCCAACAATATTTATCAGATGCTGTTTTAACTTATTATTTTTTTGAACGGTATAATCGTGTTTTGTCTCAGCTACAATGAAAAGTTATTTTATTACACCACTTAGCATAGACTAACTGGATTTTATTCACTCATATCTTCAGATCATTGGGTCATAAACGTCAAGTGGATATATTTTTGGTGCTGATAAATCTGCTCGTTAGTAAATGTATACTAAATTTTTAACTTACTCTCGTCGCCGGCTAGTTCATCAGTGTTAGAAGTAACTGAGAGTATTAGAATGCTGTACTGTTGCTTGTATGTTTTTAACATGCGTACAGAAACTCACAAGTGGATGGTTACATATAATTAACTCAGACGTGATGCATTTAGAAATATGAATTTCTCTTTGATAATCACTTTTGAGGGATAGATCGTTTGTCAGTTGATTAACTTACTGACTTATATTGGGCAGGTGACAGTTCCGTTTAGTGGAAATGCTGATAGAATTTAGTATTTTGATCGCCTTGACCATCAATTCAGTATATATGAAATACATCCCTCTGAATGTATAATTTTGTTTCAGGACTGGTCTACGTCGACATAGAATGGTAAGGAGTAAACTAGTTGAGCGAATCAACCAACTCACTTATGTTGGTAGCTTCATAAACTGTTTTGTATCAGTGTATGGTAAAATCCTAGCACGGACCCAAACGTTTTTATCGGTCTTTACTGGCTTTATTCATTTGTTCGCCAACCGAAGACAGAGTATAATACACTGCAGCTTGTTCAATTCTACGAAACAAATTGTATCCCCACTTTTTTTTCATTTCCATACTTCATTTTTACTCCCCGTGATGTTGAACATCGTAGCGGCTTACGTGTTTACTTAATTACTTCAGGTATAGTTTCCTGTTTTTGTCACACCAAAGTTTCTTTATATATATTTGTAGAGTATATTACGGGGTTTGCTTTCTTGTTTTGCACATACTTTTCCTTTTCCTCTAGATTGGACAGTAAAGTCATGCAGTCATTTAGGTGTATACTCAGGAAAGGAATTCCATTGCACATTGCCTATCGGTAAGAATTGATTATCACTTAGCTTCCACACATATAGATATCGAAGTTATGGTATCAAATTAAAAAGTTTTGATCCACCTTATTTGGTAAGTACAGTTCCTGATGAGGTATGTATTTAGGTGAATTAGTCTGTCAAACCACCTATTCATGTTTATCAAAGTGTGCAGTTCGATGTAAGAGGACATGACTACGTGCAGCTAGAGAAGTTCACTTCATACATTCACAAGTTTTTCATCAATTGTGGTTATGAAGTTGAAAAGTTTGCACTACTTTTCAATCACTTAATTTTAAATTATTTTAAATTAGTTTTCCACTGCCTCCCAGCAAAAAGCTCTACCGACTTTATCATAATAATTCGACAAATATCCGGTCAGATTTCGAAATATCTGAATTTCGAAGAATATATAGGGTATCACTACTTATTTCTGCTTACCTTTCTTGTGGTTTCTTCAGATATCGGGTGTGAAAGCTGTTCAGTTACCAATATTATTAGATCTGATCTACCAGAATTTATCTTCAGGGATTACCATTCATATTGGAAAGGTATCGTTTGATTATTAAAACTAATAAGTTATTATTTATTACAGACGGATACTTCCTTAGATGAAAATCGTTTTGTTCCACAACTTGAAAAAGAAGCATTGGAAAACGAACTGTCGAAACTCAAATTTTAAAAATTTCCTGATTTTTGGCATTTTGTACACAAATTCAACTAGTTCTTAAGCACTGACATTTCTGTTTATTGTTCTATTCGATCGAGATCTTAAGGCAAATAAAAAGCTTCTATGTCAGGAATTCGATTATGGTGAAAAATGTTCGTATAAATAAGGCGTAAAATATCATCCACCTATCATTATTACTTTTCCATAATTCTCATGTAATAAAGAGTAACTTTTGAGTTCATCTCTCTAAATCTTTTATTACATTTTGCAAGTAAAGGTTAAGCGTTGATTCATTGTATGATTACATTACTATATTTCCTAACTTAAGAAATAGAAACCATTCATATATTCATCTTTAACATATGCTGTTAGTAAGAAGCAAATAATAAACCACCAATTTAGTTATATTTGCTCACCAAAGTAGTTTAGTTAGTTGATATTGTAAATTGTATGTGTACATTAAGTTGTTAATTATGTAACGTTAAGTATTGTTCAGTTCATTGTATTCACACCCGACTAGTGATTAGATAGGTAAATCAGATATTATATATATATATATATATATATATATATATATATATATATATATATATATATATATATATATATATATATATATATATATATATATATATATAGTTTTGCATTTATTTTTGATGGATAATAAAGTTTTTATCTTTGGTCTTTATCTTTTCCCTTACATCGGACTATGTTCGTCTTTGTTCATCTATGACAAGTAGAAAGTCTCAGCCTTTCTGGAGTTACAAAAAATAGCCATATTAATGTTTTGTCAAGTTACAACGTATCCGAAAAAGAAATTGAACAAATGAAATTTTTTAATAATTCTATGAATTTAAACACACTGAGTTAATGATCCAGTCTCGCTATGAGTTATCTATTTTGAAATGTTAAGTGGTAAATTTTCTTACATCAACTTGAACTTTCGTGTCATAAACTTAACTTAATCATCCAGGGTATGTATAAAAATAATCGTTTTTTAAAATTTCAAGGCACAATTAGAGAAAGTACAAGACTAGGCGTATATTAACGAGAAAATGTGTAAAATTTATGATAATTTGGAGTCTATAATTAGAGACTAAGTAATAGGGTTCAGAAAATCGGTTTTCATAGTATAGATATATTTCCCATTCATCTTAGGATTAGTAGACTATAAAAAACTCGACACTTCTATAATTTAACATATAAAACAATATCTATTTTATCCTGTGATCTTCACCCAGTAATCGCATTTAAGTGTACTAATCATCTAGTCTACCGAAGTTGTTTCGCAAGTGAAAATCGCACAATGTACTCATGCTATTGTTTATCTAATTTGTTACTCGCAAAGTAAATGAAGTATCAGTGATAATTGGGTATAAAATACCCATGTAGTTTGAATATTAATATTTGCCACAGAAATTTAAATTACGTTTACCTCATAGAGCTTCAATCTTTCTATTATTGTTTTTCATTTCGATAACATCCTGGTTCATTACTTTAGTAATCTTGTTACATAGTGTCTGAAGTTGTCCACCATTTAAATTTTCTTCACTACACTTATAAAAATAAAGCAGCAAACTTTTTAATGCAATGTTTATTATTATTCAGTGGTTTTCTTATAATTTTGGTTGGTGTTTTATAGAACACCAAATCACTATCGTTTGCACTACTTATGAATATAACTTTAGACCAAAAAACTATTCAATTATGTTTATTCCCAAAATATATTTGTGATATTGCGTATTCTAGGTTTACAAATCAGTTTCTGCCAACCAATTTTATCCAGTCTATTTGTTTGTTCTAGTATAGTCTGTTTGCATTGAATTAACTGATTCCTACTCCGTAACATGGGCGAATTTTGTTTAGAATGCTTATGCCACTTATAATTAATCTCTTTCTTGAATGATACTGTCTTAAATCAATTTATAGTATTCCTGTACTGTCGGCAACTTTATTTGAATTGATTCCTCTAGGTTTGATGCAATAAGAAAGTAGAAACGATTGCTATTATCAAAATTAATATTCAGAATTAAGATTCACCATTCATTCCATATCACCCTTACAAATAGAATTTCCATTTCATATGAGCCCTTACTTAAAATCCTCAGAAAGTATTATTCATAACATTTCTAACCAATCACCAACTAAATTTATGACCAATTGCTTGTTTGGTTAAAAATTTTATGCAGTTCCATCGGTTTTATGAAAACTTAACCAAGTCCTTTTTTATTGGATTACAGATAACTCATGTATTACTTTCTTTAATATTGGGGTAATATATCATAGTATGTAAAGGAAGTTTAAAGTACATCTTCGGATCTCTTACGAGTTAGCTTAACAGATTTATAGATATATAATTGTTCTTACATTGATTACATATCGATCTATTACGTAACATCCTTAATTACTCCATTAACAAAAATTATGGAAAATGTCTCACTATGTAAATCATATCATTTAGCATTTAGAATCTGACCGTTATTCAATGAATCCTTACGGCTTCAAGAAGGGACTCAGTTTTTAATTGTCAGACCTCCACATTGCGGCTTTTGTTGTAATACTTGACCAATAAAGTCTACCATACTATGGCTATGTTAAGCATGTTTCAAATTTCCAGTTCCTAACCTGTCTGTTTATTATTCTTTGGAGTAAGTCCACAACAATTCTTTTTTTGACTGTTGATATGAAAATATTCAGTCAGTAACAACGTAGAACTTCGTACGTACGTACATCAGTTCGAGTTACCACACCACATTAGTAGTAAGAGAGTAAGCAGTAATCGGAAACATGAGGGCTTGAAAATGTTATTCAAGGAGTATAGTACAGTGAAATAAATTTGGAAAGAGGAAAAAAGGGACATGAAGAATTCAGAAGATTAGAATTTGGGAGAACACAAAGAGTGGATGCACTTGCGCCATTGCAAACGATTTCGAGCCATGTCATTCAGGGTAGGACCCTAAGAGGTTTCTGTGCAGCGTCTTTCTTACGTCCAGTAAGACATGGGCAAATACGCGCTCGCACTAGGACATGATCTGAATCTAAGCATGTGCTCTAGAATGAGCAACAGTCTTCTATCAGGCCCCTCCATCGGTGGCTGACAGCGATGTGACTTATTTGGGTTCAACTTTGGGACGAATTCGGGGGTCGCCATGTTAAAAGATGTTTTTGCTTATGCTTAAAGTTAGTATTTGCAAGAAATATTAAGTAAATAGCTATTCTTTACACGGTTGATTGAAATCCCTAGTTGTTATAGTTATATTTGCTAGCGTCTGTAATTTATCTTTTACATGTTGCGATTAAATAATTAATCTATATTGGTATCGTTTTATGATTGATAACTTTAATCGATGAATCACCTTGAAAAATATCTATATCTAATCAGTTTCGCTCTTTGATCCGTTGTCATATTCTATGTAGTTTTTTTTTTTATGATCCAACCATTTTATTTTCAAAATCAATATAATATTTTATCTGTGATAATAATGATAGTCTATAAATTTTTTTCACTTATTTTAGTTATTTTTTATTAATGTTTTCATAAATTTCAATAACCATATATTATTTAATATATGGTATTCTTATGGTTCAAGAAATTATTCAAATACATCTAAAGTTTAAAATTAACATTTTAATGCTATAGTTTTATTTAATTTAAATGTTTACACAGTAGATTGGTCAACAACACTCAACATTGTTTATATTCTGAAGTATATTATTATGAAAACTTGTTTATCTGTAAATGTCGTCACACTAAGTGACGATCAGGACATTAGTTGTAAAATTTATTTAATTAAGCAAGCAATTCATTTAAGAGTTATTTGTTGATCTGAAGAATTTGTTCAGTGGTCTTGATTGGCCTTAAGCGATACCAGTGTAGAGGATGGAAGCTCTTATTTGTTTAAAAGAAAATAGTGGTTGTTTTTTATATATATGGTTTAAAATAATCTGAATATGTAAATTTCTAAGGTTTCAGCAATTTTATACATGTGTAGGTGAAGATATTAAAAATATTTAGCAAAATTCCATCACTTTCAAATACTGCATTTAAAGTTGAATGTAATACACATTACAAAAGAAAGGATGTAATTAATATACCTTTCCCAAATTACTGCAAAAAGTGCTCATTTCTCATGAAATAACCGTAGGACAGCTAAACGAATTCTGGTTACGATATATATATCTTGACATTATTTACCCACCAAAGCTATCTATACAGTGTTATTAGTAATGCATACACAAAGATCACTATTTATTAGTTTTTTTTCACTTACAAATTCTTATTTCATATTCACCTTAAGTAACCTACGTTTTTCCTTTTTTGAGATTATTTTACATTCTATCATTGACATATATGTGCATGAACCTTTCATTTGACAAATTACTTCCCTTAATTACGTATTTTAGTGCTAGAATGTTATAGTTGGTTTTCTGGTGAGGATAATAAAATTTTAAATCCCGTACAGCTATATGAATTGGAAATGAACTTATTTGAATGGAATCCATTCACTATACTATTTATTTTTGACTTGACCAGACGAAATCGTCATAAGTATCTAGCTATTTGTTGGAAATTATTATGGAACAAAATATTGATTTTTCGAGTATATTAGTTTGTACTATCGGAAAAAATCACTGGGAATCCATGTATTTTAATTAATATAAAGAATTACAAGTAATTCAGTTAGAAAGAATATTGGGAAAGCTTGAAATGTAAAATTGATAACGAAATCATAGAGAAATTTCAGACCTTTATCCAATTACGTATCATTATCATATTTTGTTTATTATTGGTCTCTACCTCTTTCACTGATTAGGCCACTGATCTTCAATTTAGCATGAATTATCTTAGGGAGGGGGATACAGGTTGAGTTTTTTTTTCAAACCAAATAATTTCTTAGGAAAAGTGTTGTAACACGAAAGATTTTGTTTAATATTTCGATCATGAATTTATTTTATTATACTTTGAGTATACTCCTCCAGTTATATCGACTGTAATGAGTAGGCTATGAAAA